TTTCTCAGGACAGAGATGTAAGGCACGTACATGGATAAAATGTTAGCGATTTGGTTTAAATTTGATGAGGACGGAGAGAAGAACAGATAATCACTGTTTGCCAATTCACTCTAACTACGTAAACAAAATGGCGGTAGCGACACGATGCTAACTGTTAAAACAACACAATTCAAAATATTTTAATTTTACCTTTTTGTCCCGTGAGCAGCTTCCAGTGCCCAACTCTTATCGCCGCCATAACACGGATGTCAAAGTAGGGATTTAGCATCCAAGGTTCCGTCTTAAGGGTGGGAGATTTAGCTCGAATTGGGTCAATATTATGAAGAATTTCTTTACGTCTAGAAGGAAGACCTTCACTGAAATTGAGAGCACCAGTATAAGAGAAAATGCTATTTGCATTCTAATTGTAAGAAGACGATTGTCTATAAGTGGGGAAGATACCACTATATTGTAGGGCGCAGTTTGCTTCTCGCGAGGGGGTGCGCCATGTTCATGTATATAATAATATTTATTGAAAATACAGTGACTTGGGGAAATACGGCCACAGGACAATAAGTTTTACAGCCATGTGCTATATACATGTAGTATATGAGACTAAACGATTGATGTATGTAGTATGTTCATTAAATCCATGTTCTTGGTTGATTATTTAGTGTGTATGATATGGTTATATCATTTTCAATTCCAGTTTAGACTTTACTAGTAGTATTTAGTGCATTTGTCATTTGTTTGTCGTCATTATCATCAATCATTTTCCGATATTTTATTTTATTTGTTATTTTCTTCATGACTCAATGTTTAAACTTGTATCTTTGTCATAGGATGTTTGGTGTCACCGTAATGGTTGCCAGGCGGTGAAAATACCCAGATGTCCGCCTCGAGGAATAGTAATTTCCGTAATATGCTGATGAGTTGCTTTTCTTGGAAGGATGTTGTCGGTGTCCATGGTAACACGATTGCAAGACTTACAGTATTTACAATTTGTTTGTAATGTATAGATATAAAAATATGCGTCTAGTAGTCACATTCACATGAACATTCACGAGCCCATATGTGAAAAACCCAATACTAACATAACGAACGCATATGGTACTACTAATACCAACATATTGACATTGCCCCATATATAACTACCACAATCCAAAACAACATCATGCCCCTTATGTCACGACTAAATACATCGGTTATTAACCCAGATGTCACCACATACAACAAAATATAGCCATGACTTCATATGTCATGACCAAAAATGTTTTTTATGTCGACGTTCGGTTTAAATGTGTTTACGATAACTTTATGTTCTACCACAGTGCGCGCTTTTATGACATTCGGGCAACGGATTTTTACACAAGATATAGCCGTCAGTAATCGCAATCGCGATATAATTTTAACTGAATTACATTTACTGACGCAGTAAGGATCACGCGCAGAGCGCCACTCGTCATATCCGGTACCCGTAATACATTGCGGCCAGGACTTGTAATTTAAAGTCGACCTATTTCCATAGAGTATACAGAATGAACAAATATATGTATATAAAATAACACAAATATTTAATTGCTACAAGCATACAGTGATAAACCTTAGCACCGTAAATCACGCAAACACTAACAGATTCGTTTCAGATTAAACTAATTGTTGACTATTCTTACCTAATTGCCTCCCATTGGTTAACTCCGTCCAATGGCTTTGTCCCATGCGTAGTTCCACCAGCCAGATGCACAAATGTTGGCAACCAATCACCAACATACATTAGTTCAGTGTTTTTTGTTCCCCTCACGTGTGGTTTCAGTAGGGGACTGCTGACGAATGCTGGCCCTCGCACACCGCCTTCGTAATGTCCACACTTTTGACCCCTAAGTGGGTAGTTGCTGGCGCCAAACCCAGTTGCACCTCCATTGTCTGAAATCAAAGAAACATTTACAGAATGTGATATTTAACTTGATATTTTAATTAGGAGAATCCAATACTAACAATTTAATAACACTCCTTTCTCTTCATTTTCATCTGCAATGATGGTCATCGCCACATAAACAGTTATTTCACGACGCAGGTGTGGAAGATCAAATACATTTACTAATGTGTTTTATAAATTATAAATGGGATCATTGATATCGTCTCTTACCTGTCGAAAACACCACTACAGTGTTGTCCCACATGCCTCGATCTTTTAGGGTCTGTGTAACGTTCCCTATTGCTTCGTCCATGCATGACGTCATACCGGCGTACAATTTCCGTGACTGGTCATATATGTCTTTACCGTACGCATCGGCGTAACTGTCAGGCACTTCGAGGGGGGCATGCACTGCTTGGAATGACACATACAGAAACATGGGCTGTAATACAAAAAGAAATATGTTTTGATCATTTGTCGTATCGGGGGAAAGTAAGTTATAGCGAACGGAACTTGGTTATAACACGGATTGAAATAAATAAATAAATAAATAAATAAATAACTAAATAAATAAATAAATAAATAAATAAATAAATAAATAAATAAATAAATAACTAAATAAATAAATAAATAAATAAATAAATAAATAAATAAATAAATAAATAAATAAATAAATAAATAAATAAATAAATAAATAAATAAATAAATAAGAACAGTTAAGTACCCAACCCAACTTCCCACCCCTACTTGAAATATAGCAAACACACTGGATGATATACTGAGTTCACAATTGCAATTCATTCGAACAACACATGCCCCATCGCGCGAAGGAAACTAGTAAAAGACTACTTACAACGTTCGGGTCTTGTTTCCTAATGACTTCTTGTGCCTTTCTTGCATATAACATGGTTGAATATTCTCCGGTGTATTCAGGTCCCACCATTTTGTCGCCATCACGCAGGTCCCATGCATCAAGACGATGCCCGTGACATTTTCTTGTATGCGTGAAATACTCACCACCTGCCAGGTAGAAGCCTAAAACAAACCCATATATTTTGAGGTTGCTGGATGTTTACTATAATAGTGAATATTGAATACGTTTTTACTGACGTCTAAGACCTGCACTCCAAAATACAGTATAACAGTATACAAATATAACATAGAGCATATAGTAAAAGAACACTAAATGTTTGTAAATTTTATATCCTAGATCAATTTTACAAATTCATTATATGTAGCTGTGTCAAATAATATCTAGGAATTTATTTTACCCTAAGATAACCCAAAATAGACAAATTGATAATAATTTATATTCATCTTCAATTTTAAAATAATTACATAGGGGACATATTCGTTTACTTCAATAATCTTTGTTCTTGTCGGTCTCTATGACAAGTACATGAGCAAAGAAAACGCAATAACAAACCCCTGTGAGAGGGGACAGTTACAGAAATTAAATATCGTTCGAATTTTAAAATTTCAGCACTTTTTTTAGTTTATTTATATTTGAAATATCACCATTCCAATCCAAATGTGAATGATATTTCAATCTAAAAACACATTTCTTGAATAATGACTCAATATTTGAGACGTCTTGTGAATTTACAAACCGCTAACCCATTGCACGATGATAATAGTTGTTTCACATTAATCACACAGTTTATACAATTTATAAAAGAATATCATAAACTGTTTAACAGTCGTTACAGTATCTAAATATTAGAATATATAGTCACGGGATGTTTAAAAAAACGCCCCAGGCTTTTAGGCCGTCTGGGCCACCAGTCTCGTTCATTTTGGGGGAATTAGTGCTGTGGCGAATTTTACCTACAGTGATAGGATAGTTTAAGAAGTCATTTTTGAACAATATTTTCATTACAGGCTGGATAATCTTTAATAATACCAAAGCCAGCCATGTTTCTTTCAATAGTCGAAACAGTATTGATATTGATTCAAACATAGTAAACTTAATGTCAGTGACGTTATAAGGAACTCCATATAGTTGAAAACATGGTATGCTTGATGCTACAGGGGGGTCGGTATCCGTATTTCGAAATAGTCATTCCTTTTTTGAAAACATGAGGTTATACGCTAAATGATTCACAGATAAAATTTCAAATAATTAGCGACGATTTTCCTAAACGAATTATAGTTCTGGACTGAAGCGTGAAGATTTTACACGCAGCTGTTACCACGCCATCGTAAAATACAGAACACCCTCGCCTTTCGCATTCAGATTCAGTGGCGGATCCAGCAAAATGTATTGGGGGGTACAAGCTTCGCTTAAAATATACGGAGCGTAAATCGCATATAAGCTATGCGTAATCCAGATGATATGAATCGTCATGCGTTTGAGGGGCCCCCTGGCCCCCTCTGGATCCGCCACTGTTCAGATTTGATCTGCAGTTTTGTATAACTTACCAAAAAACGTGTCAAAACCTCTATGATTGGGTGTACAGTCCCATTTATAGAATCCCAAATGCCACTTTCCAACCATGTGCGTTGAATATCCACTTTCCTTCAGCTTCTGTGGCATCAGAACTTCATCTGTCGGTAGACATCTCTGTTCTTGGGCCATCAGTACTCCGTGCTGCATTGTGGTATGGATCTGATATTTAAAGGCAAATATTTATTAAATTAAAGGCTTGTTCATTGGAGTGCAATCTTCGTGTATAATTGTATGACGGATTGCATCATTTAGTATCCACGAGTTTAAAGATATCAATATTGTTGAATTAGTTTCCAATGTTGAAATTTACACTAGTTTCTCATGTATTAGTACGTGTGGAAATTTCAATTGTAAACGGGACGAATATATTATGAAGTATTATGGCAGAGAAAGCATATCTCATGGTTAGAACTATATGTGTTTTACAGGAAATTTACTATTATCCGTTTTATGAGAGTGCCGGCTGTTTCCATCATAATCTTGGGTATTATTTCCCTGTTACGTTTAGCAGATGGCGGTCAATTGGCAATGGTTATATTCTCTTGGTTGCATGGCAACAACAATGAACAGAAACCACCCAAATAAATACAATTGAATAACAATAATTAACCTTTACTATGACAATATTCCAAATGAAATGAACATAGATATCATATAACCTCTAATCGTGTTGATTGCACATAACACAATAATAAATCAACAAAGAGCCAATAAATGTTTACACCAATATTGAAAATACACGGAATTAAATTATCACCGACATCAAGTAATCGGTGGACTGGTATTAAGTCGATATATCTGTTTATAACGCCACCACGTAAGCGATGGACTGGTCTTAGGTCGATATATCTGTTTATAACGCCGCCAAGTAATCGGTGGTCTAGTCTTAGGTCGATATATCTGTTTATAACGCCGCCCAGTAAGCGATGGTCTAGTCTTAAGTCGATATATCTGTTTATAACGCCGCCAAGTAATCGGTGGTCTAGTCTTAAGTCGATATATCTGTTTATAACGCCGCCAAGTAAGCGATGGTCTAGTCTTAGGTCGATATATCTGTTTATAACGCCGCCTGGTAAGCGATGGGCTAGCCTTAAGTCGATATATCTGTTTATAACGCCGCCAAGTAATCGGTGGGATGGTATAAGGTCGATATATCTGTTTATAACGCCACCTGGTAAGCGATGGTCTAGTCTTAAGTCGATATATCTGTTTATAACGCCGCCAAGTAATCGGTGGGATGGTATAAGGTCGATATATCTGTTTATAACGCCACCTGGTAAGCGATGGTCTAGTCTTAAGTCGATATATCTGTTTATAACGCCGCCAAGTAAGCGATGGACTGGTCTTAGGTCGATATATTTGTTTATAACGCCGCCAAGTAAGCGATGGACTGGTCTTAAGTCGATATATCTGTTTATAACGCCGCCAAGTAAGCGATGGACTGGTCTTAAGTCGATATATCTGTTTATAACGCCGCCTGGTAAGCGATGGACTGGTCTTAAGTCGATATATCTGTTTATAACGCCGCCAAGTAAGCGATGGACTGGTCTTAAGTCGATATATCTGTTTATAACGCCGCCAAGTAAGCGATGGACTGGTCTTAAGTCGATATATCTGTTTATAACGCCGCCAAGTAAGCGATGGACTGGTCTTAAGTCGATATATCTGTTTATAACGCCGCCTGGTAAGCGATGGGCTAGCCTTAAGTCGACACATCTGGTCATAATGCATTGTGACGTATATCCCTGTCATACTAGTAATTAAATGTATTGTAATCTCTCGGGGACAGCACTGATTACATTTACAAATAACTGATGTGTTATGTATGTAGTGTTTTGCTGAACTGCCAGCATTCGTTTGGCTCTAAACTGATATGCGATCAATGTTTTCAAATTTGTTGTGCGAAATCGTAATATAACGATCACGTTGTTCAAAGAGCAACTTGGTCTACATCCTTTGGAAATCGCGTGTAATTTAAATCTGAGTTGAATGATATAGTTAGTCCAATAAAATGAATGGTTGTTACCATGCCAACTAGGTCGGGGTTACACATTTACAGCGTCAATATGCTACACGCTTAGTTTTTGATACATCATTGCCGCAATGTTAAGACATAAAGTTGTCGGGGAAATGTGTTCTAAAACTGGGAAATGTGAAAAAACTGGCATTTCCACACGACATTGTACATTTTTTGAAACATTTGCATTAATTATATTTCTTAAAGATCTTCAATTCACGTATATTCATAGTATCTAGCATGTTACACAGTCTATGTGGGCGGGATATTGTGAATATGTAAGTTACGACTGTCTACCCAGTCCAGGATATAAAATTACCTGGACCAAACCACGCTGAAATGAGTGGTATCTTATAAACATTTAGGTTACGATTGTAAATACACGCAACGTACCTAGATTAAACCACCATGAATACTGTGGTAATTTGTAAACGTGTGGGTTATGACTATAAACCCAATTCAACGTACAATTATCTAGACTAAACCACGCTGCAGTGGGTGGGATATTGTAAACGTGTGGGTTATGACTGTAAACCCAATTCAACGTACAATTACCTAGACTAAACCACACTGCAGTGGGTGGGATATTGTAAACGTGTGGGTTATGACTGTAAAACCAATTCAACGTACAATTATCTAGACTAAACCACGCTGCCGTGGGTGGGATATTGTTAACGTGGGGGTTGTGATTGTAAACCCAATTCAACGTACAATTACCTAGACTAAACCACGCTGCAGTGGGTGGGATATTGTAAACGTGTGGGTTACGATTGTTAGCCTCTTTCAAATACAAATACATACGTGTATTCCTCTCCACTCGGGAAAACTTTTGAAGAAATAGATACAATTGTATAATTTCACACATACAAGAGAAGACTCGAGCTGATGGCGACGATTAAGACGTGAATGTTCCTAGTTCGACATTTTTATAATTTAACTACACATTTTATATATCTATTGTGTCTATTTATTGTCGGAGCATACTCCCAAATGAAATTCCAATTTAAGCATAAACAGCAGTACTAGATCTCTACTATAAGATCTACTCCACTATAAGAAGGGTACAGTGAAAGAAAAAACACACATACACCTACATCTTCTTACCTGATAACGGCCAGTCATCAGAACTGCCCTTGTAGGAGTACATATTGGCGTAACGTAATAGTTCTCCAGTTTAACTCCTTCCGCCGCAAGCTTGTCGATGTTCGGCGTTCGGATGATAGAATCGTGGTATCCAACATCGTGCCAGCCGAGGTCGTCAGCTAGAAAAAAAACAATGTGGGGCGGCTTCGTTGAAGCAACAGTACTAGATACAAACGAAATTAGAGAAATGAGCAAAATTATAACGCGACATAATTCGTCCATGGTGTGCGTGGCAGCAGTAGAGATGCGACTCGGTGAACCGTGGTTAATCCCTGCCATCCTTCGCCAACTGTACACTGGGTATAAATGACACCAGCTTGGTCGACACATGTGACGAGTATTTATGATATCAATAGTGGAATAGAGAAGTGCATATTTTACATAACGTGTCACGTACTAGGGAATCACAACTATTGGCTGACTGGTCAATCTATGGTAACCCCTTAGTTTCTACTACACGGTAGGATGAACGATGTTTTGGTATTCACTATTTCGTTCATTTGAAGTTATTTCTATGGGTACTGTGTGGTGACAGTTCTGCTAATTCATGTTGTACTATTTTACCTACATTGTATTGTGCTCGTAAACATGTTAATGATTACAGCGATTTTCTTTATTCAGAGTGTAAACACAACTGAATGTAAAATTAAAATGTAAGCTTTCTGATAAATTACTACTAAATATTGCACAGCAATTCTTCCAAATTTTAAAAAGTCACTCCCAGTTACTGACTAATTCAAAATCGCCCTAAATATTATATTATTAGTTGTCGCCATTTTGTAAAACGTAGCGTGACAAAAAAGCAAGGACATCCATCGTTTATTGTCTCTCAGTGCTCGCCATAAACACATGTCACTAAAAACAATAGTACCTTAGGTAGCAAATTGAATCGTCCAATCAACCGATGAGATGCCGCGTGTCACATTCCAGTGATACTATGAGGTTATTACGAGGATACCGAAAAGTATACACGAAGACAGTACAGCGGCAGTATCGACCGACGCGCAGCAATGGTCGATGCGACGGCTTACTGTCCGAGTACAGGTTTATGGCTTGTTTTCACAACACAGCATAAATATCGGAAGAGGCTGATGCTCGAATATACCTTAACCATGCCGGGTATTTTGCCACTCAACTTGAACGAAATTCTTGCACATCGAGTGGGGTACAAAAGTGAACAAGGTACACGGGAATGAGGTTGTAACAAATAACGAATTAACTGGTAATACCCTAATGTTTATACAACAACATACCCAAAATGTGTCAGCTGGCTGCTTAATTTACCAATCCTCCGGGATATTCAAACGAGTCACAGAAGAATCATTTCATAAACATTAATCAGCTAGCAAGTTACCTGAACAATGGACTAAATGTAACGTCTATTGGACACCAAGTTCAAGTCCACTTGCCAGACGCGTAGACCGTAGATATCATGTCAGCCCGATATTATATCAATCAAGTATGGCCAAATATGCATATCAAGATAATTGTAAAAACAAAAATGTACATTCTGTCGTTATAACTACGGGTTCAATGCTTTCACAGGGCAATACACCCAGAGGAATACTCACTTTGATTTTTTGGTGAGAGTGTTCCGCAGGCAGTTCAAAACTGGACCCAAAAAGATGTTGATGGAGTTTTTTCCCTAAAACGTAATGGCTGAAAATTGTTAAATTTGAGGCCAATTTGAAAATGTCGGTTCCACCGTAAAAATGGGGTTCAAAACAGCGGCGCACACACGTATACTTCAACTATTGGAGTAAACCTCTTCCAGGGGAATACTTTATTTCCACATGTACCAGCCTTGTGTTTACACTATACTCTGTCAATTTTCATCAAATATTTTCACTTCCGTATGTGCATTGGACATGCTGATATTGTACAATCTCATACGTTGATCCCATGACCTTTCATTAATTAATAATAATAATGTGTTTGTGTACTATAATTCAGTTGTCATCACATATACCATACAGTGACGTAAAGCAGTGTAATATTATCCTTATCATACACTTAGATACGTTATCACCTAGCTGTGGCGTCACACTTTGGTGACATGTATTTCATCAATTCCATATCAGTACGCGGTTTGGTGCCGGACTAATTTACACTTTTTTACTAGTTTACACAATCAGGTTTGCCGCTGCTGTAAACAAGTTTGAAATGTGAGGTACACAACAAAAATATAAATACATGTACTTGAAAAATATTTAAAATGTATCGTGTATGTTTGTACATTGAAAATGTTTCGTCGTCTTTCTCGGCATGTTCGTCTACACCGGTTTCTTGGCGGGTTTATTGGTATGATTCCCTCGCTAGCAGACACAATAACATCTTTAAATTTGACACAAACAGCAGTACATAGATGTGTTTTTATTGGGAATAATAATCATTTTATTAAATCTTAGCTAGCTGGATCGTTTTCATAGGAACCATTTCCTGAATTTCTGTCTCCCTGAATTGTGTTTCAATATTAGACGATGTCGACGAAAGCAGCCCAAACAAATACCGCACGAAAATCTAATTTAAGGTTTGCACTTCGAAAACGAGTAGTCGTATTCCAGGGTCAAGCGACTGGTCATTGAATGCGTATGTTATACATTGTGTCGATTATTGATACCGATAATTATTACTGCCACACATCTGTTGTTACGTTTATGCCGTGGAATCGTTACGAGTTTATTAGATGGATGCAGGTGTTAGTACGTGCATGGAGGTACCGCCGTCACCGAGTGTTCGTAATGCAGACAATTCGTAATGAATTAAACCGCTAATCTAATTGAACTCATATGTTTTTTGCCATAGATGATTCTCCCGTTGATGTATTTCGCGAAATTAATATACTGTTCTAGTAATACAGCGTAATTTTTGTCGTTCATCATATATAGATTATTTAAAGGGCGGTAGTCGTCGCGCCGCGCATGTGCGCATTTGTGTTGATACTCCAATGCGTTTTTCTGGGCGCCACTTGTACTAATTACTACCGACGACTCCTTCGACACCTTCTAAACACCCCCAAAAAAAACATAATTGGTGCTTGGTAACCTCTCAGTATGTACTCGTTGGTGTGTCAAAATCGCCATTTTTGTTTATATGAGACACATATCTCGCGCATGCGCGCCGCAATGACTATAACCCTTCAAAAGGCAAAACAAATTGAGCATGTGACCGTGCCACAGTCCCACTGCCATCATGCATCTACGTCGCCCGGCGATGTTTCCCTGGTGACATCCCATTGTATGCAAATGAGCTTCGTTGCGAAATGAAATAAATAATTGATAGTCAAGGTAGACAGCAACGCTGACGTTAAAACTAATTTCCTTTATTAAAATGTTTATGCTGTGCTCAGATATATAAACTATAATAATATTCACATATAAATAAGTGAATTTGAATATCGGATAGCAAGCGTTTCACATACATCAAGGGCTCAGCCACAGGGCGTGTTTTCAAGTAATCTTCTATAGCAAAATATTAACCTAAAAAACATGGTCTCTGGTATCAATACCACCCGCATCTGAAAAAAAAAACGAATTTGCTCTCTATACCATGTAGCAATGATTTTTTTCGAAGAAAATAAACACCCAGCTCGGATTGATACAAAACTCTGGCGATAGTCAGTCGCGTCTGCTAACATGAACCTAAGAGAAAATACTGTGGGATTATTTATAAATATTATTTATGTACATAAACATGATGATGATTAATGAAGAAATTATTTGTGGGAAATTACACATTCATCGTAGCCGCGTGTCTACTCACCAGAAACATTAATCAGCTTAGCGTGGTACCATTTTGTTTAAATTGTAGATAGTAATTGTATGATATTTGCCTAGTGATTGTAATGCGGTGCTACAATCAACTAATATGCACATTCTGTTCCACTCGGAAGAAATCGTCGTGTATGGGATTGTCAAATAAAGTTTCAAAACAGCACAAATCTTATTCTAAAAGATCTACGAAACAGAGTTTTAGCATTCTGGATACTGAGAGAGCGAAACGGTGATGCCTCCGTCAACAACTCTCAGAGAGTTCACTTCCGACCTCAGTAAACAGTTGTTGCAGGCAATGTTAGGACCAATGAGGACAGGAACCGAGTCAATCAAGTCACTGAGAAGGGATTGATGTGTCAGAAGTGTCTACTCAACAGAATATCAGGGTACCGGTATTGAAGTACAATGAGAACTTGAATCAGCTATTACAGGCTGCAGTTAGACTGGCATATCAACATGAGCACAGTGACGTAAACATCACAGCAAAACGACACCGTATCCACACCACGCTATGACGCCTGCTTATAATTCATCGGAGCAACCCAGAGTTGATAGTAGTCCACATTGCAAGATTCCTTAGCCGAAAAACCAGAGACGCATCATACGGAAATTCTACTTCGATTTATGACCTAGAAATGTTCGTCGATCAAAAGTTCGAAGATTATGTCAAAAATAAAAACACGGCTGTTGATGAAGCCGTCAAAAGACCGAGTAAAAGGAATAAAGAGGAAAAAGTCCGGCAAAAAAAAAAACGGATAAAAAGCACAGGCTGCGTCTAACATCGCACCAGCGATTGAAGTTTTGAGTACAAACACATCCGATATAGGTACGCTACGACGCAGTGAATTACTAGAACCATGGAAGGTACTAACGGTACTAACTACCATGCTAGAACCCATCTCACAATTACCGATCATCGCGGTGATGTATTTCGGTAAATTGTATTTAATTTTAGTAAAGTATTTAACGACTTGTTTACTTTCGTTGCAAATATATATCCTAATATTAATATTCAAATACGTTTCAGAATCTACGCAAACTCACCACACGCCGGATTTTTAAACAAGAGATTCATTATCTAATTATCGCAAATGACTTTAATTGCATAGTGGACAAATTCAAAAGACAAAAAAGGTGGTATCACAAGATCTGTTTCAAATGCAAACTCTGCCTTTAATTCCCTTGTTCAACTTAAAGCGCGGTGGTCGTCGTGCAGCGCGTGTTCGAATTTCATGTAAATAAACAATGTATTTTACACGCGTTGTATACGTCGCTATGAGTCATATATCGAACACGACTCGGCGCGACGACTACCGCGCTTTAAAGTTTTTGATATGTTGCGCTTCATGAACCTTGGCCTACTACTACAAAAACTCGCAAAAAAATAATGTTCTGATCTCACTGCTGACGTGACGTGCTAATGGGGAATTATGTTAATCCCACTTCCACCATTTTAAAATCAACT